TTGTTGCTCAAGATGAGGTTAATATGAAGAGCTGACTTGAAACAGCATGACAGGATACAGAATATCTACTGAATATCTTTAGTTCTTTACCAAGCCATGACTTGCATCTCACTTCCTGATACTAAATAGTTTGACACTAAAACATGTTCTACAAATCCACCATCATGCTGGAACAGCTAAGCAGGAGCAGACAGCATTTCTACATTAGGAAGTACAGGCAGACAGATTATCTACCTCTCATAATCCCCTATTACCATGGAAACCCCTGGTGCTGAGACTCGCTATGGACTAGGCAATATCTTTAGCTTGATGATTTAGGCTCACTGATTTTCCACTCTGGAACGTGGTAAAATCAGGATCACTACTCCTTCAATAAATATTTTGTTATTCATAGAAGATGTGAGAGCTCCCAGACAAGGGGGCTGAGGGACATTCACCTCAAAACAGTCAGTAGCTTAAGTCATCATAATGGACTTTTTTTTTTTTTTGCCAGCTAACTCAATGTCCCACAGGAAAATTGCAGCAGATTAAAGGACTAAAGATCCAAGTTTGATCATCCTTTTTCCACATGATATAATCAAACATAAATATATGCTATATAATTATATATACCATATATATAATATATATACATGTATATATTGTTATATATAACAAGCAGTTCCTGTTTCTCTCCTAGGGAGAGAGATTAATATATTGTACTAAGTTCTGTTCCTGAGCAGTTAAGCCCCAGTCTTTCAAAGGAAGGGTAACAGGAGATGCTAGCACTACACAATCTACGTGTGCATCTCTCAAGTGATTTCTGGACCTATGATGAATCCGGATTGTAAGCAAACACTGGCATGACACCTGGAGTCACCAGGCTGAAGACATCCTTCTGACACAGGGTTCACCAACTACTGAATCATAGAATATCCCGAGTTGGAAGGGACCCATAAGGATCATCAAGTCCAACTCCTGGCACTGCACAGGTCTATCCAAAAGTTTAGACCATGTGGCTAAGTGCACAGTCCAATCGCTTCTTAAATGCAGACAGGCTTGGTGCAGTGACTAATACACTCGCTTTTCCCAGTTACCTGCAGGTATGTCTCCAGAGCAGTCCATACGTTCCAGTCCTTTAGCTGAGCACCTTTCTTCAGATACTCTCTTATCCTTTCCTCCCGGCACTGTGACGTAAGTGCCTCATGTGCCTGATGCCTGGGAATCCCCAGCACCTTCTCATGCACATAGACAGACCAGAGATTGCAGGTGGCCTCTGTGGTATGAGGTGGAAACTCCCATGCTTGCTGCTGTTGATTGTGTCCCAGCTCATGGACAGGACCCCAAAGACCAGTAGTTTTCATGTGCTTCACATCTATCATCTCCTTCACTGAATCGATGTGGCACATGATGGGGTAGCCAGAATGCATCCAGCCTGCAAGAAAAACATAAGTACTTACCCCAGTGCCTCTTAAACATAAGTAACTGTATTTCTTTTTCATTTCTCCAGCACCTTTCCTCCATCTCACAAACCATGCTGTATTACAATTACATTACAAGCTGTATTCAATGGCTCTATGTCCAAGTGAAGGCCGGTGAAGTGAAGGCCTCAGGGGTCTGTCCTGGGACCAGTACTGTTCCATACCTTTATCAGCAACATAGACAGTGGGATTGAGTGCACCCTCAGCAAGTTCACAAGAGACACCAAGCTGAGTGGTATGGTTGATACAACAGAAGGAAGGGATGCCATCCAAAGGGACCTGGACAAGCTTGAGAAGAGGGATCATGTGAACCTAATGAGGTTCAACGAGTTCAAGCACAAGGTGCTGCACCTGGGCCGGGGCAGTCCCAGGCATGAGGACAGACTGGGAGAAGAACTTATTGAGAGCAGCCCTGCAGAGAAGGACTTATGGGTTCTGGTGGATGGAAAGCTCAACGTGAACTGTCAGTGCGTGCTTGCAGCCCAGAAGGCTAACTGCATCCTGGGCAGCATCAACAGAGGGGTGACCAGCAGGTCAAGGGAGGTGATTGTCCCCCTCTGCTCTACCCTTTTGAGGCCCTACCTGGAGTGCTGCATCCAGGTGAGGGGCCCCCAGCACAAGAAGGATGTGGATCTGTTAGAGTGGGTCCAGAGGAGGGCCACAAAGATGATCAGAGGGCTGGAGCACCTCTCCTGTGAAGAAAGGCTGAGAGAGCTGGGGCTGATCTGCCTGGAGAAGAGAAGGCTCCGGAGTGAGGTTACCTCATTGTAACCTTTCAGTACTTGAAGGGCACTTAAAAAGAAAAATGGAGAGCAACTTTTTGCTCAATCAGATATTGACAGGATGAGGGGGAATGATTTTAAACTAAAAGAAAGGAGATTTAGGTTAGAGGTTAGGAGGAAATTCTTCACTCAGAGGGTGGTGAGGCACTGGAATGGGTTTCCCAGAGAGGTTGTGGAGGCTCCATTCCTTGAGGTGTTCAAGACCAGGTTAGATGAGGTCCTGAGCAACCTAATCTAGCAGTGGCGTCCCTGCCTATTGCAGGGGGTTGGAACTAGATAATCTTTGAGGTCACTTCCAACCTGAAACATTCTATCATTCTAAGATTACCATAAGTGACTTTTTTTTTCCTTTTTGTGAGATAAGGAAATAGTACAAGCGTTACTGTATCAAAGAAGAGATAGAGACAGTACTATCAGTTAAGTACAGTTTCACCTACTTTGCCTTTTTATATTTAAGTGTACACTCACAGTTGGGCTGAGGATGAGATTTTTGGTTGAAGGAAGGTTCAGTTTTGGGGCAGACTTTCTTTCCTGTCTCTTGCCCAGAATACCCCCGAATGCTCACAAACCAAGCACAGCTGACACCTACCCAAACGTGCAATAATGTGATTCAGCACCCTGGCAGAGTTTGACTTCCTGTGTAGAGTGTGGATCCTGCATGTCTGCACTCCAGAAGTTAGCAGTGTAGACAAAATACATGGATGTTACAGCTTGCCATGCTCGAGGGCTGCAAAACTTGTCATGCTGAAGTCAGCTCTTAACCTCACAGAATAGCTGTTCTATAAATAATTTCCCAGTGTCATGCAAGGCAAGAATTTTGTACTGCAAGGGATTTTTCCCAAGTCTCCTTGGTGTTTTCATCCTTGACTTGTCCTTATTCTTAAAGATTCCCAAAGCTTCATAAAAGAATCATCTCCCCAAAATCAAACACCTATCGTAGAAGTGGATAAACAGCCCTTATTCTCACTACATACATGTAGGGAGCCTACACAGCTGGCTTTAACTGAACAATAAGCCTGTATAGTACTCAAGTGAGAGGACATCAATCACAACCCCCTTCCTGCAGAAACTATTTAAGATCTTGAGCTCCCCAATTTCTAATAAGAGGGATGCGTGTAATTAAAAGCCATAGGCATGCAAAAAAATCAGGTCCAGAAATGTGAGTGAAACCATTTATTCCACCCAAAACAGGAGGGAATTTTGTGTTTGCAGCCAATGGTCTTTTTAACTGGCATTTGCTTAGCATAGCTGAACTTAACGTTCCCAAAATGTGTAACAGATTATTCCCATGTGCCTTAGCAAAGGATTAGGGCATCAGGGTTTGTGCCAAGACCTTGCCTCATTTTGGGATAATGAATTTCACCAACGTGATTTGAAAACCAATTGAAAAAATAGTATTACAAGGTTCTGAATTTATCATCTAGCTTGACTCATTCAAATACACTCAGTACACAACTTGAAAAGCTGGGGTCATGGAGTATCAACTGCAAAACTACAAACTCATGGGCTTTAACAGTAGTATTGCTTCTGCTTCTCCACTGCCATCACCTCAGGCACATCTTTTCCAACTAAGGTTTGCCCACAGTAACCTTTGCACAGCCTGCTTCCAGCAGGTAGGTACACACGAGTATAACAATTATCACTGAATGTAAGCAAACAATCCTATGGCCGAGGCAGGAAAAAAAAAAAAAAAACAACAAAAAAACAGAAATTAGATCAATGTCTCCCAGCTGTACTGATTCAGCAGTACATTCAGGAAGGAGACAAAAAACCCTGCAGTCACCAGCTCTGCCTCTTAACACATCCAGGCAGCAGAACAGCTGAGTGAGACAATGCTGGTTTAGACAGAGAGGCATCTGAACGGTCTATTTAATTTTTATAAGTACTGTCTTACTGTATTTTCATACTGTTTGAGTAGCTCACAATTATGCAAGGATCACAATCATTTGACCCTTTACGTATGTTTCCAGTCCGGCTTTACTGAAGTGACTTCGCAGGAACAGATCTTGCTACTAGAGGCCACTTGCCTTGTAGCCACTTGAGAAATGCCATTTGTCAGTGCACCTACCACATGAGATCTGGACATCTGCTACAATCCTCTCTGGCCTTGGGAACTTTGTTGGTATGGCTGCCAATTTGCTTATTGCCACCATGATCTCATTCCACAGGGTCAGCAGTGGTTTTGGGTTCTCCAAGTGGCGGATGCTGTCAGCTGGTACCGTCAGGATGAGACTCTCAGCTGCCAGTTCTGCCCAGGGAGCAGGGTAGTGCCGGATACTGGCCTTCCACTGGTTTTCACAGGTCTCCCCTACATCAACACAGAAAATCAGTTAACCACAGCTCTAACTTTTGAGCACACTCCCAGAAGTCAAGCTGAAGAAACAGATCACAGTTGAGAAATTCTCTTGGAAAACAGTACGTGGTAGGTGTGCAACTGCAGGTGGTTGGTTGTTAATTAGTTAATCCTCACCCTGTACTTGGGAAGCCTTAGGCTCTTATGGATGGGAGACAGATGGGAGCAAACTGTCATATACCAAAGTAGTTAGCATGGCAAGAACAAATCTCTGTTTTCCTTCTGAGAATAAGAAGCAGGCTTCTCCAGTCTCACTTGATGATCTTGCTTCTTCTTCTCCAATGGAGTTTTTTCTCTGTCTAACAACACTGATTTCTGTTTAATTTGATAGAGGAACAAGATGTTGCATACCACAAGGAAAGAGAAAATGACAGAAATCATGGAAAATTCACCACAGAGATTTATCACACTAAAGCACACAGAGTGCAAGATAAGCTTTGTTGTGACAGAACACTCCCATCAACACATGGTTTTCACCAGAAATGACAATTTCAACCACTAAGAAATGTTGGTTTAGACAAACCCTGCCCTTTTTGTGACAGCTCCCTCACCTCCCTCATGTGACAGCAGGCACAGAGTGAATATGTGAATTACCTGGAATCCCAGAGCAAGACAAACCAAGGAAACTGAGTCTAGGCATTACTAAACACAGTCAGGTGCTCCTAAGCATGGCAGCATCTTTCATTTCAGTCACAGGGATAGCAGCATCATGAGCAGCACTAAGAAAGGCACCAAGGTAAATAAACCTACCAAGCTTGAAGAAAGGAGCTCTGACTGCCCCTTCTACAGTGATGGGCACTTTTCCCAGGACGCTCCTTTCTGGTACTATGATGTAAATGAGGCCACCCCAGAGGCAGGAAACTGACTGTTTCTGGCAGGTAATATCACAGGTACGTATTACCACTGGGGCTCGTTTCAGCTCTTCAGCATTAGAGAGGTCATCCGCATGACACCCAACCTGCACCTGGCAAACAGAAGGGTAGGTGATTTGTGAGCAGCTGGGTAAAATGCTTCAAGTACAACTTTGCCAACGAACTATAGCACCCTGAGCCCTCTGCTGTAGCGCTGTTCCTGCAGGGCACATGTGCAGAAACAGCTTTCTAACTTCAGAATTGTTCAAGTGTTCAGCCTGTGGTGGCCAGAAGCAGCAAAACAAAACAAAACAAAACAAAACAAAAAAGTTAAAAAGTTTAGTGCTGTCTCTATCTCGGACAATCTCACGGCTCTGCTCCTATTTTTACCGGGGTCTGCTATATCCTTCATTGGCAGTTCACAGAATTGCAATGTTTTTTTTTTTCACTGTACTTTACTTGTATTTATTTTTTCTTCACCCTGCACCAGCATCAAAGTCACATCCTATAACATATGAGGTGGAGAGGTGTGATCACTCCTGGGTTGTTTTATTGTGCCTCTTCCTCGGCCCTGATACAGTAAAACAGACAAAGTGGCTGCAAGATTATACAAAAATACCTGACTTAATCTTGAGTTTCAGCTGCAGGAAGCTTACTGCAAAACATACCCAAGCAGGTGAGCTTTTGTCTGCTTTGTTCTTTGATGAGAACAGGATTCCAGTTAACTGGTTTATATCTGATCTGGATACATCTATGAGAGCAACAGTAGCAGCATTGTGGAAGTACATTAGGAGAGTTCTGGAAAGAGACAGAACTAAGTTTCATGATTAGAAGGGCCCACCCAAGTACTTATTTGGGCCTAGAATCACCTTGATCAGTTCTCTCTGCACGGCAACAGAACAGGTACAGCAAGCAGTCTCCAGGCAGCAGCCACAATCAATTATCCTGCCAGCACACAGACGAGGAATGCAAGGAGTGGAAACAAAGTGAAAAATGATGACAATGCATGGAAAGTGCCACAGGGTGGCAGCAGAAGGAAAGGACTGACAAGGCCTAAGACCTATATTCGAGTGTCCAGCTGACATTGTGTAAGCAGTAGCCAAACTAGTAAGGGCTCACCTGCAGACCAGCACCGACCAGCCGACAAGGGAATGTTATAACGGCTGTGTGACCCTCAGGGAGATAGAGTCCTGTACTCCTCCAGGCTGTCTTACCTAAAATGTGAGAGAACACAGATCTGAACAGTCAGAAACTCCTGATGTTATGGATTCCGGAGATTTCAAGCTGCAGTAAAAGAATCTTCTGTCTTTGTCTCTACACATGCACAATTGTCTCACATTTTATCCAATCTGTTGGAAATACAGCTTTAAAGGGAAAGGGTATTGGCATGAACAAGATCATCACACAATTAGCAAGCAAGCCCACCCAAACGTAAAATTCCAAGAATGACGAAGGTACTTATTAATACTTGTAAAAAAATAAACAAAAAATAATAATTAAAAAAGAAACAGCTCCTCCTCCACTCAGATCCTCTTACCCTCAGAGGTGCATACTGTGGTGGTATTAGACATAGTTGAAGTTGTAATGGTCATCAAACATCTCCTAAATAACAGACTGACAGTGACATCAAATTTTTCCCAACTGACTAGTCAGCATAAGCTGGGGCCCACACGAATTCCCATTTCTAAGCTGACTGAAGTTATGAGAATGCCTAGAGGGCTGTCCTAGCCAAGGCATAAGATGGGTACCCTACCACACCACTAAAATTTAGCAAGCCTCTAGACAGCCTTCCCATGGAAATTAAAGCCTCCTCTGCCTAGGAGATTTCAGTAGACACTTCTGATATACACTGCAAAACTGATCCATCTCTACTGTACTGATCAGGCAAAATCCACTCATTGGTTCTGACAAAGTTTACTCAAGAATATTTCAGCCCAAACAGCAAAAATCCTCAGAAGAGCCGGACCATCCTAAAGCTCCTCATTTACAACCTTCCCTGTCCTCCAAGAAATTTTGTCAGGCAAAACCTAATCCATGGAAAAATGTAAAATAGACATAATATCATAACTTTTCACCAATTCATCTCAATTTTGCTGAACTTACACCTATGGCATTTTTGAAATTGTTTAATCTCAAATCATGGGTTGCCAGCACTTTTCTTTTTTTTTTAATGTCGAATTACACAAATTCTGAACAGTCCCACTATTCAATTCAATGCTTTCAATCCAACCAACCCTAACAATTTTCCCCTTTTGCCCTGACTCATTAGTGTTACAACCAGTGAGCAACTATTCCACAACTCTTGTCTCTAAACTTCCTCTGCACTCAAGACATTGCCACTCCAGAACTGTCCTTTTTATCTCATTAGAATAGTTTGCAAACAACAACTCTCAATCATATTCAAATTAAAAAATTCAAGATTTATCTGTCCATGGAAAAATACCTTACCAGTGAAATTACTTAAAGTTTAAATATATCAGTACCAGGAATCTCAAAGTTATATAGCTACAAAGCCTAACGTTAGACAAATGATTCAGGACGTAATTACCAAATACCATAGCTTCAGTGATGGTGTCAGCCTATGAAGTTCCCGTCCTGCTCACAGTCTCTTGTTTTCACCCCAAAACCACAACTTCACTCCATCAGCTCTGCTGATACAAGAAGTTGTGAGACCGCTACTACTCAGACTGAAATTACCTAGATAAAAAAATAAAACTTTTGTTCCTAACTCCCAGCTTTTCACAGGATGGTCTCAAAGATGGCTCTGTCAGAACACTAGTGGGACAACAAATGGTAGAGCAGAGCCTGGAGTTCCTGAGGAACTTAAAGCTTTCTTGAGGAAGCCATTGCACTGTGCAAGTACCCTCAGGAGCTTCTATAGTTGGCTCTTCTCCAAGTGCCTGTGTACCAATTATGAGGATGCAAGACTTCCATGGCATGTTTCAGAGCACTAAAATCAGTGCCAGCCATAAAAGGAGCCTGCCTGCCACCACACAGAGGCCAGCATCCCCACAAGCCCACAGTGAAACTGGACATCTGTCCTCATGTTCAGACATACACACAGAGGGCAAGTGCCTTGCTGATCCCAGCGCCAGCATGCCTCAAGAGGAAGGGAGATACGGTACTCACCTGGATTAGTGCCATCGATTTCCACGGTAACAGGAAGGGCACAGACCCCAGTGGCAGATTTCTGCACTAGGGCTGCACAGTCTGTCATGGTGTATGACAGCTCAGTTGCCATGCAGAGCAGGGCTGCCTCTTTGGAGTTGCTCTTGACAGGCTTGTGCCTGCTGACGTGCGGGATCCCACTTTGGCGAAGCACTTTGGCCAGGATGCGGTGCATTGAGGCATATGTGGGGCAGTCCTGGGCAGGGATGCGCAGAAAGGCAGCACAGTCTTGTGCCAGCCTTGGCAGCCAGTCTTTCAGGGGAGCTTTGAGACCCTCAGCCTTGTCTACATGGCTCTTGAAAAGAGAGAGTGCCTTGCGAAAGTGGTAGTGCTCCCCAAATGCTGTGGCTGGGAGCTTTGCTGCCTGGACACTCTGCCCCAGGATGCTCAGCCCAAAGTGGTTGAGGATTTTGTTGCCAGGATATTCTGCCACTGCAGCTTTGCCGCGGTTCTGGGAAGCCCAATACCAGGCTTGGCCTCCAATCAGTAGGCCACCCCCTTCTGCCACAAAAGCATGAATCGTCTCCACCTGTTTGTCACTGTAAGAAGGACAGCAGTATACGCTCATGTTGCCTGTCAGCTCTGATACCTGTGACTTCACCTCTTCCTCACTGAAGAGGCCACACAGTTTCTTCAGGCTGGCATCCACACCCACCAGCCCCTTTCTCCCAGCATCTAGCCAGCGGACAGCATTGAGCAGGAATTTGGCCATCTTTGGGGAGAAGAGCTGACTCTCATGGGTTGCCACCACAACACGGCCTCGGCCATAGCGTGATGCAGCTAAGAGGCAGCGGTGCGAGCTGTCCAGGCAGAGCGGGAAGGAGAGTACACCATGCACCAGCAAGATGGAGGGTGTGCCCCCTGTCACCATATCCAGCTCTGACACACCATGCAGGAGAAAAGCAGAATCAAGGCCAAGATTGGCCTGGTGTCTGCAAAACCAAGAGAGGTTCAAGTTAGCTCCCAATCCAGCATCCTCTGCTTAAACAGCTACTGTGTCCGTCCCTGCCTCTTCTTCCTCTCTCACCCTAGTACATCATGTTGCCACTTCTTTCATTTTAAAAATAAAATAAAATCCATCAATTTTTTTTTTTTCTTTTACAGTTTCAGTTTTTGCAGTCAACCAAATCTGTAAGAATCTCAGCACTCATTTACAAATGAAGAGAAAGAAAAGTTTCCAGGCCTGTTACTTTGAAGAGCAGCTTGAAAATCCAAATGCGGGATCTCAAAAGTCAAAGGACCTTTCATATTTTTTAAGCAAATCTTTTGCAAATTTAACCTGCAAATGATGGGGAAATCAGCGTATCTCCTGTAGCAGAAACTTCCTTGAATTACTCCACCCTAAGTATCATAAACTGGACAAGCCCAAAAGATTTCTCTGTGTGTTCTGTTGAGAAGTGAAGAAAGGATAGATAGACCCCAAAAGAGAGACCCACAAATTCCTACCAGTTATCCTCCACAGTATCTTTGTGGAGCTTTTACCATCTAAGGCTCTTGTATTTTTGCTATTTCGGTATAGCGTCTATATGACACTGTGGAGAAAGACATGTTCAATCGGTTGCAATTACATAATTTTCTCCATTTGGGCAAACACAATTTTTCTTTGACACCTGAAAAGAATCTGTTGTTACATGGCCATTGCAGCCAGCTCAGTTACAATAAAACATGCTGCCCTTGTGCACACCCATAGGACAGGAAACTGCACCTCTCTTCTGATTATTACTTTACTGACACTGCGAAGTAAATGAAAGACTTTCTGGGAATTTTATTTCTGTCATTGCAACTTCCACTGCAGTGAGGTGAAACTGCCACACACAGGAAGCATAGCACCGTTCCTGCTCCACTGAGATCCCATGGCACTTTCCCTAACTGAGCAGAAAGTGGTGCTAGGCACAGTCCAGTATGCTCAGTAGCAAGGGGAGGTGGAGGAAGACAGAGGGGCAAAGTCCAGGGCACTGCTGTCTGCTCTGCGATACAAGACACAACAGCTCAGAGTTTCACAACCTGCTGCTCTGAGACCAAAAGGCCAAGCTAGAATCCCAAACTAACTTGAAGCACACCGGGTTCCTGCTAACAGCCTGTGTCTTCTGGAGAAGGGAGGTGGCACCAGGCCTGCCTCCTCAGCTCAGCATCAGTCCAGCGGTTTCACTTGCAAAAAGGAAATTTTTGCAGGTTAAGCAGGTTTAGCAGCTGTCAGGCAGAGCCCAGCCCAGAGTGCTGGTGAGGTGCTCCATCTCCAGTGTGGTTTTGAACTGTGTGAAAGTTGGCCTGAACATACCCACCCTGGGGGAAAGGATGGGATAGGAGCCGGGGAGTTGCTCCTCCTTTCCCCAGCTTGCTGTGTGGTGCTCACAGGCACAGCTGATCAGGGAGACAGCTCTACAACATGGCTGCACTCATTTCTTGACCCTGAATGAATGTCCTAACCCACTCCCCTGGAAGCAAAGTCATCATTCTTTCAGATTACAAACAGCAAGGAGATTCTCTCTTACATCTGAAGACTACAGCTGCATCCCACCCTGGCTATTAAAGAACCAGCATTCAAACATCGTCATCTCTTACCTCAAGGATCTTTTGTAAACATCTCATTTGCATAACTTGTTTAAATAGACAGAACAATTCAGATACTCACGGAACAGTTAAGGGGATCTTTGGAATTTTCTTGGCAACTTTGAAGATCCCTTTCGCTACAGGATTTCCTGTGAAGTACACACCAGCCACACTGGTCACCTGGTTCCCAGGGAATTCAAACAGCACCTTCTCCTTCCCATGTAGACTACCCCAGTGCCAAGCCTGGCCTCCAATGAGCAGGCCTCCACCTTCCTTTACAAAGCAAACCACGTCTTTTGCCTGCGTGCTGTCATAGGCATCCATACAGTACACCCCGTGGTGGGTGCTGAGCGCTACCCCAGCCTCTACTTTGATGCCAGCCCCAAGGAGCAGCTGGGAGAGGGAATCCAACCGGTGATGGGACCCAACCAGGGCCGCAGGGGAAGGCTTGAGCCACTCCACAGCATTTCTGAGGAACTGGGAAAACTTGGAGCTCTTCATGATTCCCTCGTGGGAAATAACCACCATCTTGCCTTTCCCATACCGTGAAACAGCGATCAGAACCTGCTTCTCAGCGCTCAGAAGCACAGGGTAGGCATCCTCTCCAACAAGCAGCAGCTCACAAGGAACAAAACCACCAGTGAAGTCCCATTCTCCAACACTGTCTACTAACAGCTCATAGGTAGCAGAGGGTTTCATCTTCAAGCCACTCTAATCTGATGGAGAGAAGAGCAACATTCATTGCAGTATGGCTCAGCAATACAGAACTGCTAAACTGCTAAAGGAAGCGACTGTTTTAACAAATTCTGCAAATTCTCAAAGAGGAGAACAAGGAAATAAGGATGAATACATTCCCATTAACAATTGGTTTGGAGAGGGAGAATGGCAGAAACTCCAAGAAGTCTACTAGGAACTTGCCTGGTAGAGGTGGCTTACATGGAAGGTGACAGACAATAAAAAGACCTGATCAGCACAATACATGGAGTAATTCAAACATGAAGTTTCCAATTTTCTTCCCAATTGGGTATGTATAGAAATACACATGCCTGCTGTGGCATAAGTTTCCAAAGATGCACTTTTTCTACCTGTTCAGACACTAAAAGCAAGGAGCATTAGGTGGTGACGTGAAGAGGAAGAGGGTTGATAGAAACAATAGAGACAAGCAGTTCCCTGTCACAACTGACAGTTTAAGCCACATGGGACCTAGCAGAGCAGGTCTGGGCACAGGATTTTCATGCCCTAGTATTCTGTTCTAAACTGCCTCATGATATCAAGGAAATAATTTCCCTCTTTTGCAGCTTTGTTTTTCCCATCTATGAAGCGAGGAGAATGGTACTGACCTTTGTTGCCAAAGCCTTTGAAGTCTATTGGGAGACACGTGCTATATTTAGCTTCCCTCAGGTCGAAAGTTTGGACTAGCTCTTCAGCAAAATCGTCTCCTGCTGAGCTGAGGCTTCTGTGACTGTGCAGACAGGAAGAGTTTTGAGGAGGAGAGTTTGACCAAGTCCCACCCACTTCGTGTCATTCCGAATTCACAAGGCTGACGAACACTACGCCTACGGCAAGAGAAGGTGTTGTTCTGGGGCAGACTTTGCCCTTTCCTGGGCAGCATCCTGTGCCAACATCGGTCTCTATGGTCTTCACATACATTTCAGATTTGGCTACCCTGAAACCAAATCCTTGGCACGCTAACACAGGAAAATAGAGAAGTTCTGGAGAAGCGGAATCCTTGACACAGATTTATTTGTCGTAAGCCCCAAGGTGCTCAAAAACTGCAAGCGGATCAAGAATGACAGCGCATTCCCCTTGCCCATCCTCTGGGCAAGCCTGGAAGCTCTGAGTTTTTCACATAATCTCTCGTAAGACTTGACTGCTTTTTTATATCTGATTTCTGAGTGAAAGTTGCTGATTAACATTGCCCAGAAATTTAGTGCTTGTTTGCTAGCTTAGTCTGAATTCCAGCTTTGTTTCCCTGGGTTTGAATAAACCCTACATTTAAAGGCAAATACTAGGTGATTTAGGTTGTTTGCCAGGAATCATGCAATGAAGCATTAACACAGCCTGGGAAAATAATAGTCTCTTTCTGATGGCTTCTGTGGATTTTAAACTAATATAGCTATGTTGGCACACTGACCATGGTGTAAGGGAGAGGAAAATCAGATGAATAGTCACTCAGTTTCAGTAACTGGTACTCCACCTGAGGACTACCCTCCAGGATTACAGTTTGAAGTAAATTCAGTAATAAAACAGCCCTTACTTCTTAGCACCCACTTTTGTTCTTATCACAAGATTTGGAAGCCAAAATCCTGGGCTCTGATCCCACAAAAGGATGCGTACTTCCTGGCACTTAGCCAGAAAAAGATATGGCTGTCTTCTTGTTATGCAAACATAAACTCTATGTTTACAGGACACAATGACCACCACACAACAGAATTCCCAATTTCTATGTATTTACGATTTCTCCCTTAACATTGTATTAACCAGTTGACAGTGGAAAGAGGAACGAATTGTACTCATTAGACCCAGTGCAAACAACTATGGGCAAATCCCTCTTTCTAGACAGAGAAAGTAGAAGGTACAATAGGGACAGAGAACACGGAGGTCTAACGAGAATTAGAGGAGAACCTGTAGAAGACAGATGTGTGTCTGATGTGTGAATGTGGAGGAAATAAAAATTGGCTCTAACTACATGCAGAGGGAAGAGGAAGATCTTGATTACCATTTGCTTCCCTTGTTAACATGAAAACAAAAATTTTCCACAGCAATGCCTGGAATGAGTTAAAGACTCAATTCTTTGTCCTCAGTCCTGCCCCTTCCACTTCTCACTTCCAGGCAGTTTCCTTTCCCTACAGAGCTGAAACTATTAGGAGTAGGGATTGGAGCATTTGTAAACCCTGTCAGATGACCAGTCCTAGGCTTTCTTCTCTCTGCAAAAAAAGGAACAAAAATTACACGGAAAGGTGTGGTGGGTTCATTAAATGCAGACTTAAGAGTCCATCATCTTCTGTCCAAAAGTCATCACAGTCAGCACAGAGAATACCCAGGCAAAAGGGACATGGTGTGGAGGCAGGAAAACCGCTGGGTCCATTTAGGAAGACCTCTGGCAGACACATGACTAAGAGGGTGTTCTAAGGGTGAATATGGGAACAGACTTCGTATCAAGTGCTCAGTCACCGTGGAGCAAGTCCTTAATGGTTGCTGCAAAGCCTGTCATGGGTAAAACGTAGGGTAATGTGCAGTATCTGAGAGTGGGAGGACAAAAGGCACAGGACAGTCACTGGAGGTAAATCACTTGTTAAGAACACAAGCAGCCTAAGTGAGAGAGAGACACGATTCTTAGCAATTTGGCTGCTGTTCCTAATCAGGGGGGACTCTTGCAGTTTCCACTCTTTCCTCTTTCAGCTTTATAGTCTAGCTGTCCGCACAACTATTCATCAAGTAAGCTGCAAGGTATGCATGTAGTAAGGAATTGGTGGGCTCTTGCTTTTTAACACGTTTATCAACAAAGTGAGCAAGGAGATGAATGCCAACATCTGGCATTTGCTGAAGAGACAAAAGTACTTATATCCATGATGTCTGTTCATCATTGACATTGGATTTTTATTTGATTTCATTTTGTGAGTACCTACTTAATTGGGAAAATGAGAAGAACGACACTAGGTACATTAATGACTAAACCATTAGCAGTCTGGGGCAGAGCTGGAGTAGATTCTGATAAAAAAATCTCAGGCAGGCAAAACTATTCTGAGGACAGCTAAGAGACTTGCAAAGCAGAAGGAAGACGTGACCTTTCAAAATGCAGATGTTTAAAACTGAGCTAGTCACCGTGAGCTCTGTTTTCTATCAGTGGAGAAAAACATGCAGCTGGATGGAAAAAGCCATCTGCCCTGCTTTAAAACTTTTCTTTAGGGTGAAATGGATCACCCTATATAATCTAGTGACTGGATCACTCCTAATTTTAAAGGGAGCACAGGGCAACTAGCTCCAATGCAGTCCTTTCCAACTAGATGAAGCCAGTGTCACTGGTTCAAGGCCTATATGGAGAACTGAAATGACACTGGGCTCCAGAAATGCCTTTATAACAGTTTTGTCCCAGAATAGCTAACTTAGAACACTAATTCCATGCCTCGAGCAATGCCCTTTGGCATGCTGGATGAACACTCACAGCTGGAACTTTGAGATTCCATGTTCTGCTAGGTGACTGTAAGAAGCAGCTTTGAACCCAGAACAGGAGAATATCATAAGCCTCTTATGTCATTGTGGAGCAGGTACTCAAAGGTCCTCCCAGACATTTATCCAGCCAATCTTGAAATTATCGACTCAACTATTTCCTGCTCATCTACATTCCAAATTGCAACAAAAAAAGGCAAACATTATCTGCATCAGAAGTCCTTACCTCCACGGAGAGCCTACAACATGCATTCTCATTAGGCTGGGACAGAAACAAAGAAGAGTGACCAAAGAAACCTGGAGAATGTTGTCCTCATAGGCCCTGTAGAATGACCAGTACCATGGCATGTCCCAGTATCCATATGGCAGCAGTGACCTGCAAGGGCACAATAACTAAAAAAAAAAATAAAGGCAACAAGACACAGGAAGGATGATACATTTATGTCAACACTGTCAAAAAACAAAACAAAACAAAACAAACTAGAGGTCATAATCTGAAGTGTTTAGGAAAGCTGATGACATATAATACACATGAAGATTTATTTCTTCTCCATAAGATTGTCTGAGCCATGTGACAATGCTCTATTTAACAAGAAAAACAAAACAAAACAAAAACAAAAAACAACAACAACAACAACAAAACAAACAGAAAAAAACACAACATATGATTTTTGCACTGTGTAGCATAAATGCAAACCAGAATGTACTTAAAAGTTCTGTGATATTCTTATAAAGAAAGCCAATACCTACCCTGCAAGACTAAGTGGGCACTACAGCTGGTTTAAGCATACAAGTGAGAGCTTGGGTTACTGCTAGGACTGTAACACGCTCAAGCTCTGCCCTGCCAGATGATCAAGCACTTGGTTTCTGACAGGGTATGAAAAACATTTAGAGCAAAACTGTGAGGCTGGCTCACTTCAGAATAGGCTCAAAATTGTGTTAATCTAAAGATGGGGACAAAAACTCTCAGGACTGAACATCTCAGATATGTCCTGCATGTTTTTTCACTGTTTTCAATACCTTTTGAAAGCATAAGCACCATGAAACCACCAATAGGGTAGGCTAAAGCAGTAAGCCATGAAATGGAAATATCAACCTAAGTGTAAGAAAGGTTGTAAGGAAAAGCAATAAACCCAGGTGCAATGAACTGTATAGCTAGAACAGCACTGATACCGCAACAATGTTTTGTCTATTTCTGAGCAGAGCTGGCACAGCCTCAAGACTCCCTCCAACACCTTCCTCCTCCCCCCCAACTCTGTGAAAGAGCAGTTGTGGTGGAGTTTAGCTGCCCAGCAGGGCAAAACCACTACAGTGTTACATTAAAAAAGTCAAAGAAACAAAGCTTAGTAGGTCAAACGAAAATTGAGGAAGACAAGAAGTAGGTGAGGTTGTGAAATTAGTAACAACTCTTAAAATGACGAATAAAAGCTAAATAAAAATTTAATTTTTTAGAAATTTATATATATATATATTTTAATTTAATAAAACAAAAGCTAAAAGCATCATCACAAAAATCCTCCAATAGTTTATATCTTCCCAAGGTGGCTGTTGATAAAAGCCATACGGAGAAAAAATGTAATCCATACAGACTGATGGAACCAGGTTAAGAAAGACAAGGCCAAGAAAGCAATGACTAGAGGAAGTTACTATTTTTTTAATGCATTAGAGTTACTAGAAAACAAATTGAAAACAAATACAGTACAAATTTCAGTAAAGGTGTAGCAGAATCTATCAGGCAATTGCCACCTGTAATTAGTTATTGGTAGTATTTTCGTACGGAAAAAATCAACAGGGATTGCCTATCCTTTCTGATGATATTAACGTGCACGCATTAGGGCTACACACTGTCTAAAAGAATGCAAAGAAATAGAGATCCTTAGTGTCTAAACACACAGCTGAACAGCAATCTCGATTACTTTTTAAAGATAAGGAAAGAACAAAATGAAAGTATATATAAACATCTACCTGTGTGTTTTAAAATAATTTTGCATTTGAAAATGTAATTACAATTTTAATTAAAATTGAATTTGACTAAATTCCTAAGAACTGAAAGTAGGCTCATGGGCAATGACCAGTAAAGACAGATGCCAGAGATGTTTATACAAAAAATTTCCTACTTACTCTTTTAAAATCTCTACCTGTGATCCAAAAAGGCCAGCACGTATCACATAAATGAAATTCCCAAATAACATCGAGTATTTATGTGCAGAAGCACAGGAAAAGGAACCATAACCTTATTAGAAAATAACTTTGAAAATGAGAACTTAAATCAAAGTCCTATGGCCTCTAGTTTTAGAACCGTGCTGACATCTGCTGGTGAACAACGAAAAGAACAGCTACAAATCTCAGAATTGCAAATACAGAGCCCTTTTCCAATCCTACAGTGGAGGGGTTGGATCTCATTTGCATGCCTGCTACGTTATGCCTGTTCAGATTATTTCCCTTTAGATGCTGCTAGGTTTTGAAGCAGGGGATGAGTGTAACACCACAGTTCTTCATGTGAAAAGAGACACGTGTCAAATGCTCTTCGATGTGGACCATGCCAATCTACTGTTGTCTGCAGTGATGTGGTAAAGGATAAGGAGAAACAACTTTCTCTCTTCTAAACTGACAGCACAGGACTTGTTTTGCTGTATATGATCAAGAACAAGGGAGAGCATGGATAACAGGACAACTCACTGAATCTGAGAATGACAAATGGATAAGGTGTAACTTGGCTGGCAGGCAGTGTCTGACATCCTTCATGGCCTAACATGAAGTGTCACACAAATTAGCAACATAGGATTAGACTGATGAACATTTGTACCTTACCGTGGGCTTCAAGAGTGCTTGCAACATCAACAACAAAGCACAATTCATATAAACTGATAATTTCCCCCTTATTATGCACCATTATCTTTTATAATGCACCAAGAAGAGGTACTACAAACTGCTCTCTTATATTATTTTTCAAATTCGTATAAGCTACATCTGAGCTGTGCTGCTCTCTGCCCACCTTCTAACGGCTTTATGTACAAACCTTGTTATCTATAGCAAGTCTTTACATAAACCTGTTCATAAACATAACAAGTTGCAGACCAGCATTAGCCAGGCATCACCTCCTACAAGTCTGTTCCAGAGTCCCGCTGCAATTAGTTGGTTTGGGACATTTTATTGATCAGGCAATAAAATGCTATTTTAGATACTCTTTGATGCTTGTTATATATGGAGTGGTAATTCATGTCAAGAAAATGGTTGATATTAATAAAGAAGGGGGAGATTTGGGAGTGTGGCCATGGGGGTTGGAAAGCCCCGTGGATAAGATAACATTAGACTCTTAACGATGAGGCCATCAGGAATATAAAAGAGTTTAGAGGGAACAAAGAAGGGTGATTCAGGAGACTCCATGCAGTATTTGGTTTCTTGTTCTCCAGCCATTGAAGTTTCTGGTTGTTTGCTGTTGCTGTTATATGCAAAGTTATTCGACCAATGAAAAGTTGTTTTGAAAAGAACTGCTGTGGAAAGAAGGGTATAAGAGGGGAGTCTGTCCTCAAGATAAAGAAAGGCAACACGATGGGATGAAGTTATGTCATCAATAAAGAAGCAGAAAGAAGGAATGAAAAGGAGCAGGCTAGCAGAACAGAAACCAGGACGGGAACAAGCACTTTGATTGCCTCATGAAGATAGGTTCGGCCAAACTCAAACTGATCAGAGAAGCTCGTACTGAAAGGCGCTGGAAACAGGCACACTGGAGCTGGAGAGAAGCGGAGCCGCGCACACAACTGCCCCTTGCTGGTAAGCAGTTGCGCATTATGGGGAATCATACGTCCTTAGGAACAAAGACTGTCCTGGTAACCTTACAGCTTATTCTCCTTATTAACAATCGGACAGTTTATGAGCTTGAAATATGGGACCAAACTGAGGTCAAGGTGTGGGACTCTGCAACTAAAAACGGCAAGGTTGCGGTGGGATTGCTCAGCACCTGGAGAGCAGTCTCTGGGGCCTTGAAGAGCCATGTGGGGCCACAATCAGAAACGTGTGGCTTGCCAGACAGTGAGAGAGCTGCAGGCTCCTTTACTGATCCGACTGCTACGCCATGGGCCCCTCTGCTGCTACAGCCATCGAAGGCCTTTGCTGCTACGCCCCCTGGTGACCTGGACGTGCCTTTTGACCTTGAAAAGGAGATCATAGAATCATAGAATATCCTGAGTTGGAAGGGACCCTTAAGGATCATCAAGTCCAACTCTTGACACCGCACAGGTCTACCCAAAAGTTCAGACCATGTGACTAAGCGCACAGTCCAATCTCTTCTTAAATTCAGTCAGGCTCGGTGCAGTGACCACTTCCCTGGGGAGCCTGTTCCAGTGTGCAACCACCCTCTCTGTGAAGAACCCCCTCCTGATGTCAAGCCTAAACTTCCCCTGCCTCAGCTTAACCCTGTTCCCGCGGGTCCTGTCACTGGTGTTAATGGAGAAAAGGTCTCCTGCCTCTTGACACCCCCTTATGAGGAAGTTGTAGACTGCGATGAGGTCTCCCCTCAGCCTCCTCTTCTCTAGGCTGAACAGGCCCAGTGCCCTCAGCCGTTCCTCGTACGTCTTCCCCTCCAGGCCTTTCACCATCTTCGTAGCCCTCCTCTGGACACTCTCCAACAGTTTCATGTCCTTTTTATACTGTGGTGCCCAGAACTGCACACAGTACTCGAGGTGAGGCCGCACCAGCACAGAGTAGAGTGGGACAATCACCTCCCTTGACCTACTAGCGATGCCGTGCTTGATGCACCCCAGGACACGGTTGGCCCTCCTGGCTGCCAGGGCCATACTCAACTTGCTGTCTACCACGACCCCCAGATCCCTCTCTTCTAGGCTGCTCTCCAGCGTCTCATCGCCCAGTCTGTATGTGCAGCCAGGGTTTCCCCGTCCCAGGTGCAGGACCCGGCACTTGCTCTTATTGAACTTCATGCGGTTGGCGATCGCCCAGCTCTCCAACCTATCCAGATCCCTCTGCAAGGCCTTTCCACCCTCATTCGAGTCCACAACTCCTCCAAGTTTGGTGTCATCAGCAAACTTGCTCAAAATACCTTCTATTCCTACATCCAGATCGTTTATAAAAATATTGAAAAGTACCAGCCCTAAAATGGAGCCTTGAGGGACCCCACTGGTGACCGCCCGCCAGCCTGACGCAGCGCCATTCACCATAACCCTTTGGGCCCTGCCCGTTAGCCAATTGCTCACCCATCGTATGATGTTTTTATTTAGCTGTAGGGTTGACATTTTGTCCAGTAGGATCCTATGGGAAACCGTGTCAAAAGCCTTGCTGAAGTCCAAAAAAATCACATCAGCTGGTTTCCCTTGGTCCACCATACGGGTGATCTTATCATAAAAGGAAATCAGGTTAGTTAGGCAGGACCTACCCTTCACAAACCCATGCTGGCTGGGACCAATGACTGCTTTGCCCCCCAGGTGCACCTCAATAAGTTCGAGAACCATCTTCTCCATGATTTTACCAGGCACTGACGTGAGACTGACGGGCCTGTAATTGCTAGGGTCTTCTTTCTGACCCTTCTTGAAAATCGGCAAAACATTTGCCAGCTTCCAGTCTACCGGGACCTCT